GAAGAGGGACTCCGAACTGAGGTGCTCTAAGCTCTCCCAAGGCTGGAACGTTGTAAATCAAGATCTGTTTCTACCGGCTTCAATTGCTGGGTCTTTCGCCAGGGCGCCACATGGATGGGCCCAGTCTGCACAGTAACACTACACTGTACTATTGTCTGATGGTAAGTGGTAACTCCGGACCCAACCTGCCCAAGCACCCCAGTGGGTGAGGACACAACGTCCAATATTTGGTTTGTGCAGGCACAGATCAAGGGAATCATTATTGTCATTACAGCTCAGCCTGGAATCCAGGCTCTCAGGTATGTGAGCCCCTCACTTACCATGGCTCCATAGTCTATATCTCAGGGGAGGGAATTTCATCGGCTACCGATGGCATGCACACAGATGGCATGTACACAGATGGCGTGCATACAGATGGCATGTACACAGATGGCGTGCACACAGATGACATGTACACAGATGGTGTGCACACAGATGACATGTACACAGATGGTGTGCACACAGATGGCATGTACACAGATGGTGTGCACACAGATGACATGTACACAGATGGTATGCACACAGATGACATGTACACAGATGGTGTGCATACAGATGTCGTGCATGGGGAGGGCAGAGAGGTTTTTCTTCTCTGGAGAGTAGGGTGTCATCCACTGCACGAACCACTGGCCATTCTCAAATTGTTAATATCTGAGGAAATGGTGTCTGACCACTGGGGAATTTTCCCTCTATTCCCTTTATGCCCCAAAATAAAATAAATTGGGAGAGTTTTCAACTCGGTGTAATTGCCTTGAGAAACACAGCCATGCTGGTTGCGGTCCTGCCTGTGACGCTCCTGCACGTGGAGACCCCAGAGGCCACCTGCGCCTGACAAGCCTCATTCCAAGGTGAGACATAAGTTGTCCAGCAGAACCTGGTGGAGCTCCATGTCTATGTGCACCTAGGGCCTCCTGATGACCTGGCCAGTCCCACATAGCTATCCTGTGCTGGTGTGCTGGGACCCTCCAAGATGCCGACCAGCCTTCTGGGCACAGCATGTGGAACACGAGAAACATGGGCACCAGGACTCAGCCCTGCGGGAGAGCTCCTATCAGAGTTTCCCCGGGCCAGAGCTGTCACAGCTGGCGGTCTAAGGACGCCCCCTCACCCTCTGTGCGGGACCCTGCCGCGAGCACAGGTGCCCTCCAAGTGCCCAAGGCATTTCACCTCAGCTGTCCCCATCGCAGCGGTGTCTAGCAAGAGCCCTTGTGGGGGCAGTAGGTTCCACCCCTCCCCTGCACATCACCTCACGACACCGCTCGGCAGGTGTGCACTGGCCCTGCTTGCGCTGACTTAAAACAAAAAGACCTTTTGAGGTGACAGCCCCCAAACGTTTATTGAAATCATGAAGAATAGCTATTCAGAAATCATTAATTCAGGCAGAACTCCAAATAATGTCCTGGTTAGGAGAGGCAATGGGTATCTATGCAAAAGAGAAGAGGAGCACTTATCTGTGGAAGACAGGCACTTCCATTGGCGCAGATAACGTAGTGATGGTAGTTCTAAACAATGTTTGTAATTTTCATTCCGGTAGTCATCAGTCTAGTAGCTGTAATAATGCTTTATTGTTATCTTTTCCAAACAGTGCATTGGGACAGAAGGTTGCTTAGTCCAGCCCAAGGGTCTTTTTGCCCCGTTTTAACATCCAGAGGTTTGAGGCATCAGACATGCAAGGCAGTTCCCCTGGCCTGCCAGCTCCAGCTCCGTTCTAAGGTGGCTCCATTCCTATTCCTGTTCACACGAGAAATGCACTAGGGGTGCCGGGTCCGTTCTGAACACTTCTGTGCGTGTACCCCTCTGAGTCACTCTGTGCAGGGACAATTCAACTTCTTTTCCCATGGTGGCTCCTCCTTATGACTTTCTACCTCCTGTCTCACAACCACTGAATCTTCGTGGAGCTGCGCTTGCCGTCTGCACTGTTTCTGCTCTTTTCAGCAACTCTGAGGTCCGCACCACGGATGCTCTGCTCGACAGAAGCACAAACTACTGGCCAAAAGGAGCAACGTCCACTGCCCGGTGGGATCCTTCTGTGTGCTGAGTGGAGATGATCCGAATGAGCCACCAAGTGCACGGTCTTGCTACCCGTGCGTCACATGGCTATCCTAACACCCAGGAAAGTCCAGGGAACCATTACATGTCACGACAATTAGTAATGGATGGAAGGGGTGGGGGGATTGGCAGAAATATTAGGGGTAGGGACTCTGCAAAGGCTTCACTGTTCACTCAACTGCCTCCTTCCCTGGCGCATCCTTGCTCCTTGCGGCGCCCAGCCCGAGACACGTTCCTCCCCCTTCCTGAGCCCGGGGCTGACCCCTACAGCCTTGCTTTCTTCTTATGGGGCAAATCGGACGTGGAGCTGCCTAGTCCCAGGCCTGCCAGTGACGGCAGCAGTGCCAGGGGGGACTCACTTAGGAAAAACATGGAGATTCCACCAGGATTCCCAGAATATTAAACATCGTGGATCCCGTAAAAGGTCAACCTTTTTTCTTTCGGTCAAGTAGTTAGACATCTAAGTCAGTAATAGCTGGGTGAAGCTAAGACACTCAGATTCCAGGAGGCAGAAAACCCTCATGGCGGAGGAAGGCGCAGGGAACCCCCCAGGGAGGTGGGGGCTGGGGAGTGGCGGGCATTGCCTGCAGTCTCTGTGCAGCCCGCAACTTCTTTGTCGCCTCCCGTTTGCTCTTAAATATTTATTCTATGCCAATCATTTTTGAAACTTGTTCAGTAATTTTAATTGCTTTAAACCGTTCGCCTTGGAGTAGAATCAACATGCCTGGGAGGGGCCTCTGAATGAGTCCCTGGCTGCAGCCTGAGAAGCCACCTCAGGCTGCACAGAGGCAGGTTGGAGCAGTCCTGTCTCTGGGAAGGTGGAGAAGGCAGGGTCCCCTCAGGGCTCCCGGGACAGAATGAAGCTTCCTGGGAGACCGGGGCTGTGAGGGGATGGCAGGGGCCGCAATTTCAGGACCTCTCACTTTTGAACCAAGAGCTCTCTGGCCAGGTCATAAGCTCGCCTTTGTGCTCATGGACCGCCCAGTATCAAAATTATCTCAGAACCCAATCCTTAAGTCCTTTCACCTTTATTTAGATGGAAATAATGGTGCTTCTGTTGCTAATTTAGAGGGGTTTAGACAGACACAGGCTTCAGAGGAGAGGGATTCTCTGAACAGGCAGCAAAACCCACTTCTAAGGAGGCAGTAATACCAGCTGGACCACTTGGAAGGAAGTACAGACGTGGCTGAAACCAAGTTGGCGGGAAAAGGGCTACCCAGCCCATGGTAATGAGGACACTCGAGTGCTAAAAAGAGAAATGTGGTGGCAGTCCCTTGGTTTGTGTCCACACGGTGTGTCTGGGGCTGGACAGTCATGGGAAAGAGCCATGAGGTGGTTTCAGGGGGCGCAGGGAGTGTGATGTTGTGCAGCAATAACCAGGGTAACGGGGAATCAGTCCTTGTTCTGCTGTGCACGCGGACCCCGGTCACTACCTCCCCTGAGGTGAAGCCCAGGGCTCCAAATGAACGGCCGCGGGTGACGGTGGCGACTGGGGCTTGGGACGGGCCGCGTGGCCCTGGGCCAGCCTCCTCCTCGGGCTGCGCGAGGACTGTGCCCTTCCTCAGGGGCATTTCCCATGGAGAGCCCCTAGGCCCTCTGGAAGGGGCCCAGATAGACTTGCTGTGCTCCCGGTGGTCCCCTTCTCTTTCTCGCCCCCACCAACCCTCACCCCTTAACTTGTTCCTTCTCTCCCCATCCCCTTTTCCAAGGACTCACTGCCTTCTCTATGGAAATCACATTTCACCTCCAACAATCCTCCCGGATTCTTACAAACTTTGTAGGAAGACGTAGGAGCCCACGGCTGTACCTCTGCTGAGCCCAGTCCCTAAGGTTCTGCTAAGTGGGAGAAGGGGGCTCCACCTCACCCCAGCCCCTAAAAGGTGAAATATTGCCACCAAGCGCCATGAAGACCACACCACCGTGCAATTGCAGGCGGTATGATGCCTGCCTCTTTCCACATCTAGGGCACAGAAGAACAAGAATTCGGGAAGCGAGACATACACCCAAGTGCTTGACTCCCTTAAGGTGTTCATGGGTCCCCCAAAAAACACTTGCCTTTCCACAACCTGAGTTCCAAACCAACTAACAGGCAAAAAGTTGAGACAGATGGGGATCAAAATACCAGTTTCATCCTGATAAAAGCAGGATCAGGAAAAATGGCTCAGATGCATGCCCCCCAAAATTCCTAAACCTAACCCCCAGAATTGGGCTTAGCCACAAGACCTCAGGCTGCTCCAGCCGACCACACACACCCCACCCACAGCCGTCCCTGTACATTTGAACTTGGAGGAGCACAGAGCCCCAGCCTCTCCCACAGGACGAGCCCCAGGAGACCTGCCAGGAGCAGACTCACCTTCAGGGCTCCCAGCCTGAGCGTCTCCCCAAAAAGAAGGGCAGGCGGGGAGACCAGGGGTCCTCCTAGTTGAGGGGCCACCTCCTAGAAGCGGGCATTGGTGCGGGGCCTGAGTGTTCCCATTTAGGTCCCAGGGCCCCACTCCATCCCTGCCTCCACAGAGGCGCCTCGGGTCTCCATCCTCAGCCCAGTGGTTGCTGTGGCTGCTGCTGCCGCTTCCTCCTGCCAGTGATTTCTCAGGTCCCCTCCTCAGTCACTGCCTTCCTGCTTCCCGGGTTTTCAGCTCCTGTAGCTCGAGCTACTTCCTTGTTTTTGGTGTCTTTGCACAAACAAGTGGACTCCTGGGGGCCGGTCCTGCTCATTGCTGGGGGCCCCTGCCCCCAACCCTCCGGTTCTGACTGTCTCCCTTTGTCCTCCATTCCTGCTGCCACGTGCCCTGATGGCTGAGAACCAGGGTGAAGCTGCAGGAGGGAGTCATGCTTGACAACGCTCGGAAAGTTACTTTCACTTCTCGTTTCCCCTCTTGGGTGGAGCCCTGTCTGAGCAAGCCTGTTACACACTTCCTGCTCACCGCTGGGCAGTTATACTGAAACCAGGCTGGGGACACCGGAGGGTTCGAAGGCCAGGCTCCAGGCCCAGGCTGGGCCCAGGGCAGGACCATGGCCGGTAGGGGCGGCAACATCTGTACCAGGTAAGTCTGTCTTTCCTCCTTTAATTGCCTCTCTGGCTGTGCTGCGGCTTTCATGCTGGTTTAGACACTTGCCTAAGCCTTGACCTTAGTCCAGCTTTACAGGAACACTCACGTGCTGTGTAATGACGGACTGAAATACATGATAAGGAAATCGGATCTTTAACCTGCAGAGGGACGGCCCCTGGTGTGGGTGCAGCTGCCAACAGCCACAGGACCCTTGTCTCACACCTGCTGCTCAGCTGGAGGGCCCATCAGGACTCGGCTGTCCTTTCTGACGCTTTGGGGCAGCGATTTGTTATTTTCTCATGAACTCTGAACCCTCTCATTTCCCTCAGACCCCCACTACCTTCACCTAGGTCATTTCAAAGAAGGTACTTTAGGAAATATAAAATTCAAGGTAAACATCTGACTTCAAATCTGGGAGCCTTGGTCTCCTACTCAACCTGGGGATGGGTCAGCACCGGGCCCATTCCCATCTCTGGTTACAGGCTGGCTTCTCCCTCCAGGGGTCTTGATCTAAAGAAAGAGGAGATCCAGGACTCCAAAGACCAGAGCAATCTGAGTGTTTTCATTTGTACTTTGATTTTCTGTTCTGGAATGGCTTATACTTCTAACAAGGAAAAGGCTAGAAGTCTTATCTTTCTCTCTAGTAATGGGTCAGAAATGCTTACTTTTTTAATACAAAAGAATTAGATTTTACATTCTTGCTCGTAAGCTTCCAATGACACGCCAGTGTGCAGAGGGAACAAGGCCCCGCCCCCCACCCCTGCCCTCCACAGCTCTCAGTCCTGGTCCTGTTGAGGATTGTGGGCACAGCCTCCCTTATCTTTTTCTGCACATTTACATATATAACTTGTTTTCCTAAACACATACTTTGTGTCTTGTTTTTTAACAAATGGGGTTATATCATATATGCCATTTTCCATTTGCACTTATTTTAACAGTGAACATATCAGAGGTCTTTACGCTTTAATAAATATATCAATCTCCCTCATTCTTTTTAACAGCTGCGTACTATTCCATAGAATCAATACACTATAATTTTTAAAACCATTCTCTTCCACTGACAGGCACTTAGGTCGTTTATATATTTTTCTCTTTTTTACATATATATGTGAATTTGTCTTGTGTCAATAACCAAAAAAAAAAATCTAATTGTTGAGGCAAAGAATACTAATACTTATTTGTTTATAGATTCTGCCAAACTGCCTTTCTAAGTAGCAGAACAAATACATTCTCTTAACAATAGTGAATAAGACGAAATCATTTCCCAACACCCATTTTTGCAAAGGTGCTAGATAAGCAGATTTATTTAGTTAATTTGTACCCTCTGGTTACATGAGAGTTGAATAGGTTTTCGTATCTATCATCCATTTAAATGGCCTCTTCTATGAATTGTTGGTTTATTTTGGTCAATGTTATAAGTTGACCTGATTGTCTTTTCTTTGATGATAAGGGAGAGTTTGCTAAATATTCTGAAAGTTATAAATATAGTTTCCTTTTCTTAAATTTTATTTGTGGCGACTTCTAGCTTATGAAAGCTTTCAAATTTAGAGTTAAAAACTTAGAGTATTGATTTTATAAGATAGATGCACCCTGTTTATTACAAATAAATAAAAGTGATGCTGAAAGTTACTGATGAATTCCATGCATGCTGTCTTTAACCAGAGTTCTTGCATTCAAAAGGTGGCAGATTCAATTCCACCTTTACTTCAGGGAAGGTTTCTTCACTGGTGTCTTCAAAAACATATTATTTTTTTATTTTTTTATAAAGATTCTATTTATTTTTGGAGAGAGGGGAAGAGAAGGAGAAGGAGAGGGAGAGAAACATCAATGCTTGGTTGCCTCTCGCTCGCCCCCAACTGGGGACTTCGCCCACAACCCAGGTCTGTGCCTGGACCGGGAATCAAACCGGCAACACTTTGGTTCGCAGGTCGGCACTCAATCCACTGAGCGGCACCAGCCAGGGCCAAAAACATATTTTTTAATTTGGAGACAAAACTATTCTTCCACTGGAAAGTTAAATGTAGCCTTCCAGCTTTATCTGTCCCTAATAAATCATCTCTTTAGCTTTTTACCTTCTGTTCATAGTGGCTGTCTCAAACCTTTCTTCTATGAAAATTTTGTAATTTTTAGTAGTTTTTTGGTTTCTCATTAATTTTTTAAGAAGTCAATTGTGTTTTGTTTTTTTTGTTTTTTTTTTTTTTTTGGAGTGGGCGATGGTCCTGATTTCCTTCCATAGCTCTGCAAGCTCTACTTTACATCAAGTTTTGTTACTAAATCAGCCCATCTGCACCGTCGCCTAATTTATGTAGGTGTTTGTGTGACACTCAGTGCCTTGGGGACGGCCTCCGTGACCCCTGGGTGTCCCTCCAGGTCGACCCTGTCTGCAGGTTGGTGTCTGTCCTTCACTTTCTTTCTCACCTGCCTGCGTGGCTGTACCGTCCATTTCTCTCGGGCTTGCCCTCGGCACCGTCCTCACCTGGGTGAACTTTTTTACATCTCCTGTCTTTCTGAGACTGAATTTCCTGGCATCTAATACATAGTTAGAAGGCCTTATCCTTTCCCTCATCCGTTTTTCTGAGGTGCCACCCTTGGCTAACCACCCTCGTGCCCTCTGCTCTGCCCCGCTGCCCCGTCCAGTGCCCAGCGCCCACATGCGCAGGGTCTGCTCTGCGCTCTCTCCCTGCCACTGGCCTAGGAGAGCCTCTCCTTGTGCCGGACTGACTGTCATCGTGACGGCAGCTTCATGGGAGCGCGCGACAGCTGGCAGAGTACGTCTTCCCATCCCCTCCTTCTTCAAAGGGTCCTGGCCCTTTGCATGTCCAAACCAGCTTGTCCAAACGTTGTTGGGACTTATTTCAGGATGGTAGTGAATCTGTGGGTCGATTGGAAGAGAATTGATGTCTTTATAATATCGTTTTCTATCTCATTAATTTAGTATATGTATACTATTAATTAAAAATATTTTCACATAAAATTTCTCTTTTTCCCCTAGAGGTCGTGTACTTCTGCTAGATTAATTCATGGATATTTGATATCATGATACCATTAAGCTATTAAATCTACAAAATTTAAAATGAACTTTCTGCTTGTTATCAAGATAAAAAAATTAAAACTTTGCCAAATTTTTTTTAATTCTAATGACATATGGATACATGTATATATATTAATTTATATAATATATTCATAATGACAGTTTTGTTTCTACAAATCTAATCCTTACACTTATTATTTCTTTTTCTTGTCTTATTTTGTTGGGTGGAACTTCCAGTATAATGGTAAATACAAGTAATGATAGTAATCATTTGTATCTTAAGCTTAATCCCAAAGAGAAAGCTTTTCTCATTGTACAATTATGGATGTTGTTTGCTGTAGGTTTTCTTTTTTAATATGAAAACTTACACGGATTAAAGTAGTTTTTATAGTTGGCATCTGATATTTTCAGTGTATGAGGTGTTCCTGGCCCTGTTTTCTACTTTTTCTGCTGTTCCCACTTACAAAAATTTTTATAAATAAACTACTGTGTTCATATTCACAGAAAAGTTGCAAAGGTACTATACAAGATTTCATATACTACACACCCAGTTTCATTTTCTGTGATGTTAACATTTTACACTACTGTGATACATTTCTCAAAACTGAACACCAACATTGTTACATCAGTGTTAACTAAACCACACACTTTTTTATTTGTTTTTTCCAATTGTGATTTTTTTTTTTAGTTTTTTAATTACCCTCTAACTGGTGTGGCTCAGTTGGCTGGGCATTGTGTGTAAGAGGCAACCAATCAATGTATCTCTCTCCCATCAATGTTTCTCTCCCTCGCTTTCTCCCTCCCTTCCCTTCTCTCTAAAAATAAATGAGTAAAATCTTTTTTAAAAAATTTTTTTTAATTACAGTTCACATTCAATATTATTTTATATTAGCTCTAGGTGTACAACATATTGGTTAGGTAATCATACACTTTACAAAGTCTTCCCCGATAGTTCCAGTACCCAGCTGGCACCATACAGAGTTATTACAATATTATTGACTATGTTTCTTATGATGTATACTGCATCCCCATGACTGTTTCAGAGCTACCAGTCTGTACTGCTTATTCCCTTCACCTGTGTCACTCAGTCCTCAAATGCCTCTCCTCCCTGGTAACCTCAGCCCATTCTCTGTATCTATGAGTCTGCTTCTGCTTGGCTTCTTTGTTTATTTTTCCCATATATAAGTGACATTGTGTGGTATTTGTCTTTCTCTGAGTGACTTATCCCACTTAGTGTACCTTCCAGGTCCATCCATTGCTGTCACAGAATGTAAGATTTCATTCTTTTTTATAACCAAGTGGTATCCCATTGCATATATGTACCACATGTCTGTTCATCTATTGATGGGCACTTGGGTTGCTTCCACATCTTGGCCATTGTAAATAATGCGGCAGTGAACATAGGGGCGCATATATTCTTTCTAATTAGTGTTTTGAACTTCTTCTGATATGTCCCCAGAGGTGGAATTGTTGGGTCATGAGGCAGTTGCATTTTTAATTTTTTAAGGTAACTCCATACTGTTCTCCACAGTGCCTGCCCTGGGCTGCATTCCCACCAACAGTGCGTGAGGGCTCCCTTTTCTCCACAGCCTCGCCGGCACTTGGTGTTTGTTCATTTATTAAGGACAACCATTCTGACAGGTGTGAGGTGATATTCATTGTAAACACAGACTGTTTAACTTTCACCAGTTCTTCTGCTAAAGTCCTTATTTTGTTCCAGGATTCCCTCTAAGGTACCATGTCACCTTTGATCATCTTGTCACCTATTCTCTCTGGTCTGTGACCTTTCCTTGTTTTTCATGACCTTGACAATTTCAAAGTCCTAGTCAGGCATTTTGTAGAATGTCTTTCAATTTAGGTTCATCTTTATGTTTTTCTCATAATTAGACTGGGGTTATGGGTTTTATGAAAAAATTCCCTGAGGTTAAGTGCCCTTCTTAACACATCACATCAGGGGACATGT